TGCTTTTTAATTTTTCTTCTTCTTTCTCTTCGCCTCTTCGTCAGCAAAGAATTTTACGCAAAAGCTTTTAAGGGATTTTTAGACGCTGCTTTATGCTTAAATCTGGGATCAGCCGAGCTGAAAATACGGTAATGAGTTTACATGGCAAATAAGCAATATGGACCTCGTGGCGTGAGCGTCGCAGTCGGCGTGCAAGCATGTGGGTGTCTGGGCTTTACAATAAAGACAAGGCACGTTATGTGGGGCTCATGTAAAATGTAGAACAAACACTTCCCCTGCGGCTCAGCAGCAGCAAACATATGATGTATGTCTTCTTAAAAATATTTTATTACTTTTTTACATTCTTTTCTGGTAGGAAGGTGCGTTTGCGTTTCTTTTGTTTGTACGAAATTTGAAATGTTTTTCTAAAAGTGTTGTTGTTTTCTTTTTGTTGCGCAATATCACTTGATTAATTGTGGTGTCTAAAGGCAAAAACTCATTACGCTTACTTGGCGGGAATCATTAAAAGTTGAGTTTTGTTGAGAATTACGCTTTGCTAATGAAAGAGAAGATAAGTTTTTTTATTCTAAATTTTCATTTTATTACATTTAAAATATTGGTTCGTGGGAAAAAAATATGTTGCAAATTTAATGTAAAAGATTTTAACGAAAGATGTTTAGTCAACTGACTTTAATGTCTAAATTTTGAAAGTGACGTTCCAACAAAAACTTAAAACATAAGGCTGAACCAAACCAGAGGTGTTCCAATGTCTCACTCGCGCCTACCTTCCTACACTTTCTGCATTTATCATCGCTAGCAATGTCGGTGGAGTGGGATGTACTAACAGTCGAGGAGCTATACTCAATTCCTCCTCTTGCCTCCACGTCGTGAACACTGAAAACGCGAGCAATCCTTGTGTAAGATGCGGTAACCAACTCGTGTGGAGTCTTGGTTGAGAGAGGAGGCTTTAGTGGAGCCACTCTGACTTAGCCTTTTAAAGAGTTCGCTGATGTCGAAATGCAGCGTCCGTTCTGCAGAGGTGTGGCTGCTTTATAAATATGTAAAATCTATGCGCTGGGTTTGGAGCCCGCCACATAGTAACTAGCTCCAATGAAAAGTTCACCTACGACTCGGTTGAAATACCCGAATACATATACGAACTATGGATTACGAATTGAGGGCCTGCAGTTGGACTGATGGGTCCTTTAATTTGAAAGGTGTTGCTGCCCAGCTGGCTGATGTCCTCGTAAAATTAAAGGCTTACACCACCGCCGTCCAAGAAGTGCGTTGGACGTGACGAAGATGAAAGAAGGTGGATTCGTGGTGGGAGAGAGACTGAGGCATTCGCGCCGATGGATGAACGTCTCGCCACAATACGCGTAAATCAAAATTTTTGTAACACTTCTTTGATTTATGCCCACGGCCCGAGGAATGCGAAGGACGACTTGGCCAAATATGTTTTTTATGGCACGCTTACGAGCGTTGCCCCCGCAACGTGGGCAAAGAAGGTATCTCTGTTACGACTNGCCCGAGGAATGCGAAGGACGATTTGGCCAAATATGTCTTTTATGGCACGCTTATGAGCGTTGCTCCCGCAACGTGGGCAAAGAAGGTATCTCTGTTGCGACTGTCGGAAAATTCGGCCTCAATAACGAAACATCCTGTAATAGGTTGTGACTCGTAGACTTCACCGGGGCCCGAAATATTGATGTCTGTCGTACTAGACCCCAGCACAAAGAAATACATTAATCTATTTGGTTGTCCCCTGATGTGAAAACTCAAAACCAAATCGATCATGTTGTGACAGACTGAAGGTATGTACTGACGTGCTGGCGTGCGTACAGCCCAAAAACCCAAAAATGATTCGGACCACTATCTTGTTGGAGTTAAGTTTCCACATCTTTGTACCGAAGTGACCGTCATCTAACATAAGGAAGGTTCAACGTCTAAAGGCAGCAATCACGATAGACGAAAAATACGGCGACTTATAAAAGGTTTCAAGACCGGAGCAGACTCTTGTAAGACACAAAGAGATGATCTAGCAACCAATGCCCAGAGCACATTGAATTTATGAAGGAAACACTTCTGCAACCTGTTGAATGACAGTGAAAATAGGGTATTCGTAAATGGTGAACTCGAAATCCCATTCGATGACAATGGAAAAGATGTTTCATTACCCGACCATGACCAGGTTCGAATTTCGATTGCCCGCCTAAATAAAAACAAAGCGGCGGGAGCTGACGGCCTTCCGGCAGAACTATTCAAACGGNACTATATATCAGTATGTACTGTTATTGAAATCGATATTTGCAAAGCTGGAAAGTAGCGCTGATACGGCCTTATTGTAATGGCAGCCAAAGCTAAGCCATAACCAGACGTGAACTTGAAGACTTTCCCAGCTGGAAGGTAATATTCTATATTCCTTTAAGTTTACTTAAGCAATAATTGTGACTCCACCGCATCACCTTCCCCATCGTCTTGGTTTACGATTTTGTCTTTATGTCTAACCTTTTGTTTAGACTCGGTTTTTAGTTGTCAAAGGTGTTTTTAGTTGTTCTTCCTTTCTTTAACTTCCATTTCAATTGTCAATGTGCTGTTGTCTGATTTTTAACATTTTGACATAATAGTTTTTACTAATGTCATACTATATGCATACATATATGTAATATATATTAATTTTCAGCATTGGACTCAGCTACAGTAAGCATTTGGAAGGATTCTTCAACTCTTTGTACACTCGCTTGTATAGGCGTTGTTGCTATTTTTTATGTATAATATGTATGTATATATTTGGGTAAATATGTGTGCGAGGAGCTTCCTTCGTATTACCCTTTAGACGCTTATAAGTTCAAAAGCGTTCGCATATATTTGTTTCAACTGAAATACTACAAGCACCCAACAGATAAAGCGGTCAGAGGACATGACAGCGCTTTGATTTCAGAGTTTTGAAAAGGTAAGTTGAGCTGTTGAGGGTAGAGTAGGATTTTGAACGGCTTAGCTACTTCTTAGGATACTCAATGGAAACAAACTAATTTCAAAAAACTGAAATTAATTTCGGAAAAATAAAAATGTAATGTAAAGTGTGTCGAAGAATCAGGAAAACATATTTTTTTAAATTTCAAAGAAATTCAAATTTCTTTTAGAAAGCAAAAAATGTTTTCTTCTTAGAATATTTCAAGTTCGGTTAGACTTTTCGTAACCAAACAAGATTTTTTTATATCACATGTATGTTGAAATTATAAAGGAGTGTGGTAGATAGCTGCGTATGTACTAACACAGTATTTAAAATTCAGGTAACTACGATCAGTTCTTTGTGCTGCGGATTGATCAGTCAGACATTTAAGACAAATGGTGTTGTATTATATATATATAGATAAACGTACATACCGGCGCCATAAGCACTGAAGCGATTTTCATACTTTGTTTATTTTGTATTAATTTAAAAATGTAGTGGTAAAAATTGCTCTCTAAATTTCCCTTTTTGTGCCCCGTTTAAATTCAGTATGGCAATGAGACTGCGGCACAAGTGAGTTGAGTCTACTGATCGCGCCAAATAAATATTAAACTATGTACTACACGTTGGTATTAACATATATACTATACATCTATATTTCAGAAATATTCCAATATTTTTAGAAAATTGTGAGTGATATTCAGAATTTTTCAATCGAAAGTAAAACAAAAAAAAAAAAAATCAAGCTACCTTCAGAAAACTAAAAATCTTTTTTCTGAAAATTTCGAATAAAATTAAGAAAATCTCTCTCCTGGAAGTTGTTGGTTATATTATAGTCGTATAATATGATGATAGAATGGAAATGTATTTTATATATTTTTTTCTGATTATTTCAGAAATACAACAGGGTCCGGCACTGAAAACGTAACGAATTAAACAGACCATTAAATCAGTTGACTTTTAATCAATTCAAAGTAAAAATTGTATGAAGCCCCAAGCTGCAACAGGTCTGACTTTAGAGAACGTTACCCCTGCGGGTAAGGGGCTCAAGAATTTACCCACCGTAAGGCATGCCTGTCGTAAGAGGCGACTAAAATTCAATAGTTACCTTGACAGTCGGGTCTTTATACCGGAACGACCCGGATTTCTTTTCGGTCAAGGACTGGCACTCCTGCCACATTCCCCAAAATGTACTTTGGGGAATAATTTTGCGGTTACAACAACAACAACAACAGATAGAGAGAACGTAAATGTAGCTGCGCTTAACTGAAATTGGTCAATTACCGAACGGGAAAATTTTTACAGTAGAGCAATCCGCAAACTCTCAAAACCAAAGGATTTAATTGACCAACCGTTCATACAGGAATCTGAGTTATCGATTGGCTACCGGAAGGCAGCACATGCCATAGATAATGGTTTAGGTCGCTGTAACCCCGGATGGGCGCTCTCCAACGTCAAGGTAAATGCGCTATATTAAAAGAAAATGTTCAGAAGGTTGCCGTTGGCAGACAGACATTTCGATGTCAGACCATGGACGTTTCAGCAGCTCCCGTGACAACAACGTACCAAATTTCATAACGTCCACACAATGACTCTTGAGTTCACCAGACGCCAATCCGATGGAATAATCTCTTTGGGCTCTTTTGGAAAGCAAAGTCCGAGGTGCTGAAGAAAGCCGTTAACCGCGATTCAGTTTTAGACCGTCTCAAGCCCATAATCAAGGCAAACGCTGATCATTTCGAGAAAATTGAATTGTTTCCAAATTTTGTACTAATTTCATATATTTTGTTCTTCAAATTGATTAAGCGAAATTTTTCATACTGAATTTATGGCCTTTTCAATTGGCGTGTGGCGGACCCTGTAAAATGTTTGTTGTCTTTTTTAAAATAGTTCTTAGAAACCAAAGAAAAAATCGTTTCTTATTCTTATTCATTTTTATTCAGAAACCTAGGAATATTTTAAGATTTTAACACCAAGATTTTACTTTATACAAAGAAAAAAAATAATCATCAAATTTACCTTCTCTTTAATAAAAAAATATAAATTTAAAAAAGAGTTGTTAACTCACCTCCTTCATCGGTCATAACCAATATTGTGGTTTCGGGCCCCAGACCCTCAGGGTTGAAAACTTGTACCGTCACTTTGTATTGCGTATAAGTTTCCAGATTTGTTATTTCATGACTCTGTGGGAAAATAAAAATTTTGATTCTTATATATACATAAAATTTTAGTAATTTTTTAAAAACTTTTAAAAGAGATTTAAGAGAGTGATTAAATATTACCATGTGATCTTATAGAAAGCCTGTAGTTATTCCAAGACCCGTAAACTTAAATTCAGCAATAAATTTATGCAAATCATAACTAGTTGTAATGAAGAATTTGCCATATTACTTACGCAAAGACTCTTCCCAAATTCTCCGAAACCCAAAAATGGAAAATTCTCCTGCTTAACTACTTTTATGCTGAATTAAGGATAGAAAAGTAAGCTTTAATTTGGTTGGCAACAAGCAGTAAGCTTTTTCATTTAAACACACACACACACAACACACATGCAGAGCGACAGCATAAAGGCAAAACCGGTCTGGTTGGATGGTGTTGAGAAAATGAGAAAAACCGAATTTTAACNTAAAAAGAAAAAAATGGAAAAAATTGCCTTCGATGTTGATAAAAAACGTTTTTTACTACCAAAATGTCGAAGGTGTCTGTATGTGTGTGTGTGTGTGTGTGAGAAGCAGTAAGCTTTTTCATTTAAACACACACACACACAACACACATGCAGAGCGACAGCATAAAGGCAAAACCGGTCTGGTTGGATGGTGTTGAGAAAATGAGAAAAACCGAATTTTAACTGGCCAACCATAAAGTACGTAAGCTCATTTGGTTAAGCAGCTCATTCAGAGACAAGGCACATCCACTACGTAGATACACTGCTTTCACATATACAAGCGCACACACACATGCAGTCAACAAGGTGAGCTGAATTAACACTGCTGTGCGCCAAAAAATATACACTAAAATTTTACTCGTTTGCGGCTAATGTGAATTTTACCTGTTCTCACGTTCCTAACTTTGCTGTTTTTGTTAGTGTATGTGTAGCCACAAAATCACTAACACTATCGTAAATGCATATGTACCTGGATGTGTTTACATAAATGGGCGTTAGTAGGTGTATTTGCTTGAACAATTGCAATTTATGTACAAGGTTGGTAATTTAAATTTGTTAAAAGGTGTCTAAAACACACCAAAAACAAGTTGCAACCACAACTAAAATTGGAGCGAAATAAAAAACACCAACAACAGCATAATCAAAAGTAAACCGCCGATTCACGCAATGACACGCACACGAAAGCCAAGGGAAGCTGGCGTTAGTGAAATCAAAGAGTGTTTAAAGGCAAACAAATACACATACACAGCCCCAGATACTAACTACATATGTATGTTTATTATTCGGTACATCGACAAGCTTAAATGGTATTAACACACTCTTGTGTGAGAGGAGCTTTTTTAACTTAAGCGAGACTTTTAGCTAAAATAACACAAGAGACACAGGATAGAAGGTTTCCATATATCAAAGAATAATTTTATTTCATTTTTTAAAAATGTCAACTTTCTGCATTAACTGTTAAATAAACTTAAATAAAATAGGAAAAAAATTAATTTTAATAGTTAAAAAAATTGAAAAATAAATAAGTTGAAATAAATTAAAATAAAATATAATAAAATAAAATAATATAAAATAAAATAAAATAAAATAAAATAAAATAAAATAAAATAAAATAAAATAAAATAAAATAAAATAAAATAAAATAATATAAAATAAACTAACGTTTACACACTAGCGGGCTAAAAAATTCCGCAATTGCATATATGCACTAACGGTGAACAATTTCTATAGCCCTTCATATCTGCATTAAAGCTGTAATCACAATCGGCGCTAGTTCGTTACGGTGTCTAATGTTTTCCATTTGTCACAGCTATGTTCTATTATCTGCGAATTCATATTTTTGTTTCTTTGATTTATTTGTTCCCTAATAAATGTACAGTTATCTAAGTCGTTCCGCTAAACTGCTATATTCGCATATTTTAATTGGAAAATCCTAACGGATTTCGAATCAAATATGTATACATGATTTTATCTCACTATGTTTGTACCTAAATGTACGGTTTATGCGAAATCCAAAATCGGGAAAAGCGCATTTTCAGAATTTTCGGCGAATAATCTTTTTGCCATTTTTTTATTTATACAGACAACAGTTCAGTTCATACTTGTTACTAGAGATTTAAAAGTTTGTGATAACTCGTTATTTATTTTGTGCATTCTAATATGCGCGCAAGTATGATTGTGTTTGTGAGCCAGTGAAATTTTTATTTTCTGCCCAAAAATATGCGCAAAAATAAAAAGAAAAAAATGGAAAAAATTGCCTTCGATGTTGATAAAAAACGTTTTTTACTACCAAAATGTCGAAGGTGTCTGTATGTGTGTGTGTGTGTGTGTGAGGTTAGTTAGCGGTAAGCAAAGTCATGGCAACCCGTTAGCTAACCCACTCATATACATATATGTATTCATGTAGATATGTAGCCACACATGTAGCGCAGACATTATTAAAAAACAGTTTTCCAAGCCGGAAAATGTGCATTGCGACGAGGCAATAGTTTAGTTGGTGTTTTTGTTGTAAACTTATATATACACGTATGTAGAAATATAAAATAAAAGTAAAATTTTTGTGCTTTTGTTACAAATATCACAAATTTATTTTAGTTTTCGTTAGTTTTGCTTTTTTAATTTTTCGTTTTTTTTTTTCTTGTTCACTCACGGCGACGTGGAAAGTCACAAGCGGAGCGCAAAATGTTGCGATAAAAAATTGAAGTTGCACGTTTTCGCCTCGCAGGGTAATATTTCAGCATTAAAGTGTTATGCAAATAAAATGGGAAAAAGTTGAAAATAATAAAAAATAAAAAGGGAGCAAAAAAAAAAAGTATAAAATAAAATGGTAGCATACAAAGGGGTAGTAAAAATAGTACTAGTAAATGGCAAAGATTTGCGTATGTGTGTATAAGAAATTCTATATGGAAAAATGTAGTATTTTATATAAAATAAAAGCATTTAAAATAAAAGTAGTAGGAAAAAAAAATTGTAGTGAAATGGTAAAATGAAAGCGTGCGCTACAGAGGCGCGATAAGTGTGCGCTTTTACGAAAAATATGCACTTGGGAGTGTTACGCGCTGCTACCGGCTCAGCGCAATGGCGCCATGACCTCTCTTCTCCCTTTACTCTCCTCCACACTCTACGCTTTTGATAGTGCACGGTGCGTCGGCTTTTGAAATTTTCATATAAATACGTATGTGTGTATCGGATGCTCTCGTTCCTTGTACGTGAGTATAATCGCTGATAATTTTCGGGATATATTGTAAGTGCGATAAGTTTGCAATTGCACTTGCAGCAAATAAAGCAAATAATATATGTATTACACGTGCACACACATATACATACACGTATATCACACTCGCTGTTATTTATGTACGTACGTAGCTAGCAAATGAGCAGGGAGGCCAACAAAAGGGGATAACCAAGCGTAATTGTAGTAAGAGAAAATTTAGTACGGAGGGAAAATCATCTAAAGTAAATTTAAATCACTTTAAGAAGAGAGACGAAAATTATAAATAAACTATTTTGAATCTAAGCAACCAAATGTTGTTTCTATGATACTTTACGACACAAAATACCTTCACTCCTTATTTTAGGATTGATTCTGGTCTTCGATATAGTCAATAATTACATTTCTTATGATTCTGGACAACCAAAGTTTGTGTGAAAAGCTTAAGAACTTGACCGACAAAGTTAATACTCAAAAGTTCTTAACAAGATACGGCGACTCACAGATGGTTTTAAACCAAATGCAAGCTCTTGTAGGAGGCTTGATCTAGTGAATGATGGCCAGAGTATACAGAAATGTTATAGATAATTCTTCTGCAACCTGCTGAATGGTAGTGAAGGCCTAATTGATGGAAATGACTTTCAATTACCTGATTAAGATGAGGTTCAAATAGCGGCTGGTGCTGATGGCTTGCCCGCAGTACTATGTAAATATCGCGGCGAGAAGCTAACAATCGATAAAAAGGGGAATCCACAGCCTTCGCCAAATACCATTCGCGCGTATTACGTGAAAGACTAAAGCCCACCGTCAACAAACTGATTGGGTCTTATCAGTGTGGCTTTAGACCAACCATTGACCAGATATTTACCATGTACAAATTTTGAAGACGACACGTGAAAAAAGGATCCGCATACGCCACCTCTTCGTCTATTTTAAAGCAGCCGTCGACAGCAAGAAGCCTCTATGCCACTGAATTTGGCATCCCCGCAAAACTTATACGGTTGTGTAAATTGATCTTAAGCAAAACCAAAAGCCTTGTCCTTATTGGAAAGGACCTCTGTGAGCCGTTCGCTACCAAATATGGTTTCACTCAAGGATAGTCCTGATCGTTTGAAAATATTGAAAATAAAAACTGCAGAGATGAATAGAGAACAGTGTACAGCTGCTGGCGTATGCCGATGGTATTGAAATTTTTGGCTTCAACAACCGCGCTGTGAGTTCTGCTTTCTTCAGGCTTGATAAAGAAGAGAGGCGAATGGGTCTGGTAGTGAACGAAGTTAAAATGAAATATCTCTTGCCGTGAAACAAATGGAGGGACCTACAGTTTATACTAAGCCACCTCCGAACGGCTGGTGGTTTTTTATGAGGAGCCTTTATTTCATGTAAGAAATACCCTGAAGACGACGCCAGAAGGAGAAGAAGCATCGATGTGTCCACCCCAAAAGTTCTCCAAAAAGTTGAAAAATTTGTTCTCCGCGCTACTCGAATAAAGAGAAAATAATTCACGGAGATTATTTTAGCATCCGATGCAACCACGATCATGTTGGAATGACTAAAGTCGGTGCAAGAGGAGTGTCGGAAAAGCCTGCACAAGCCGTAGCCACAATCTGTTTGCTGCTCTGCATAATAAAAAGGAGAGCATTGATATTGTGAAGCACAAACCCTACAGCCTGGAACTAGCCTAGTGCGCTTGGAACCTGTTTCCAAAAGTACCAAAGTAAAGAAAAAGGCTGAACCATTTATCCCCGACGGTGAAATCATTTGATCTGAACGCGTCTTGCAGATAAACAAGTAGAAGAGTAAAAATAATTTCGTTCTTAATTATTTTCGAAAAATTCTGGGAGCGTCGTTCAAGGGCTGATTCCACAGATGTAAAAACAAGAAGAATTTTTCCTTTCCTTCCGCTGGCACTTCAAGGCGATCCTTCCATATTCCTTATTCTGGTATTCCTTATTTTGGTATAAAATTAAAAATTTTTTTCTTCAAACGACATTTCTACTCTTTAAAGCGCCCTTAGTTCTGCTTCAAGTAAATTTAAATTCCCCACTTTCCCCACTCACAAGACCGAAAACTCCTGAAATAACTATTTTTCGACAATCCCGTTGTTGTTGTCATTCTTTTATCACGATTGCAAACGGATTTGCATGCGATTTNAAGGAGGGCTTTGATATTGTGAATCACAAACCCTGCAGCTTGGAACTAGCCACGTGCGCTTGTTAGCTGTTTTCAAAAGTACCAAAACAAAGAAGAAAGCTGAACCATTTATCACCGATGGTGAAATCATTTGATCTTAATTCGTCTTGCTGATAAACAAGTAGAAGAGGAAAAATAATTTCGTTCTTAATTATTTTCGAAAAATTCTGGGAGCGTCGTTCAAGGGCTGATTCCACAGATGCAAAAACGAGAAGAATTTTTCTTTTCCTTGCGATGACACTTCAAGGCGATCTTTCCATATTCTCTCTCTCTGTTGAAGTTAAATAACTTAATGCGGTAGTCAAACAGATTTTGGTATAAAATTAAAAATTTTTTTCTTCAAACGACATTTCTACTCTTTAAAGCGCCCTTAGTTCTGCTTCAAGTAAATTTAAATTCCCCACTTTCTCCACTTACAAGACCGAAAACTCCTGAAATAACTATTTTTCGACAATCCCGTTGTTGTTGTCATTCTTTTATCACGATTGCAAACGGATTTGCATGCGATTTGCACGCGAGATATCACGTAAATTACCTTTTAATATTAGGAACATGAGCTCGTTTAGCCCATTTAGCCCATTTTTAGGCGCTTAGCATGGCATTTAACTAAGTTGTCAACATAAATGCCAAAAACAGAAAGAATAAACGACACAAACTGAACATAGAAGCGCCTAATGCGCAAACAGTGAAAGCGCTAAGCTAATGCAACAACAATTACAACTGAAAAAAAAAAAAAAAATAAAAAAAAAAAATCAGCAGTAGAGGCATAAATTCGCGATGCGACGCGACGCGGCAAATACAAAATAAACTACAAAACAATAGCTGCAGCAACAGCAAAAACAACAAGCGCAATTAAAGCAACAACCAAAAAGGTGTGAGAACAATTCAAATCGCTGCAATAACAATGCCAGCAACAACAATAATTTCAAACACCAACAGCAATTGTGGCAAACAACTTTATACCCGAGCCCATGAGTTGGCGAATCAACGGTCGGCTAGATGAGCGACGGCGGCGGCTGACGGGGTGAGCTGTGAATGGCGCAGGGCGAACGACACCGGAAATTGTAAGTAAAACTTTTTAGGCGTAGAATTTTAAGGGCCAAATGGCTACGAGGGTATGTAAAAGGTAGTATGTAAAAGGTGGGCTCATTGAAGCTTTGAATTAAAGCGACAAATTTTTGCAAGCGCCAGGTGTGTAACGGCGGAATGTGGCTCGGGAGGTATGCGCGTAACTGTGAATGGATGTGACAGTGTTTTGTTTTTTTACTAACAACGATTTTAGACCTTTCGTGTTGTGTTGTTGGTCGGACGGATATGGCTGTGGCTGTGGCTGTAACATGGGACAGCGGCAGTTGTGGATTTCTCGTTACATTTGTAGGTCTATTTAAAATTAATGCATGTATGTGTGTAAAATTGAACTTAAGCTAAGTGAACCCAGTAGTAAATTATGTAGTTAATTTTTGTAAGAGAAATTTTGTAGTTTTTGGGATTTCCTGATTAAAGATTTTAGTAAATTTGAGAAGTTCGGCTGTTCATTATTTAACTGGAGGGCCAAAGTTTCGCGTTATTGGTTTCAATAACAGAGCGGACGGTGTGTTTTAGAAAAGCACTTATTGGTCTTCTCTTTGAGTGAGGTGAGTGGCAGATACTGCCAGGTACTTGCGGCCCTCGGCTGTAACCAATAGTGAAGGAAGCGGTGTGTCTAGTAATCCAGGTCTTATTTCGGTTAAGAATATCAGCCTTAATTCTGAGAGTCAGACAGCTATTCAGGTGCTCGAAAGCCTCTCGCTCTAGTATTGAACTCTCTTAAGTTTAACATCTCTTGAGCTGATGTCAGAAGGGCTATTCCTGGGTCAGTCTATATGCAAACCCCAAATTCTTTCGGTGGTATTCTTCGGAACTAATAAAGCTCATACGAGTACGGTTTACCTCGTAAAATGATCATATACACTTGAAGTGCTTACTTTGAATCAGATCGTTCACAATTTCCGGGTATCACCTTCCGAGGTATTGCTTAAGGGAACACATCGAAGGTGGCATGCAAGGAGTGAGGACAGCTGCTCAAAACGGAAAGTGAATTTTCAAATTGTTGACTTATCATTGTCGTTGGTCGTATGTGTACGACTTGAGCCGAGTGTATGCTTTCAGATACTTAGAATTTGAAAGTATGGATTTCCCTTAACCTCTAGAGCAAGGGGTAATCCTTAGGAGACACAGTAAAATGCAGTTGTAATCGGACTAGTTCCAGCTGCGCCACACATGCATGACCGAATTTAACTTTACACCACTGGGATGTTAGTAGATGGGCTCTTTAGCTGTCTGCCCAACCGGCAACACGGCTCATAGACGTTGATCGATTGCCGCGAGACTCTTAACATCCAATCCTCCAACTATACTCATGATATATATGTATATGTAGATTCCATTGTGCTTTTGGCCAAGCTTTAAGAGCCGTACATACATACATATGTACAAAAATGGCAACACTGCTAACGGTTACACCGTTACATCATTACATCGCTACACCGTTACGGCGACAACGACAATCAAATGAAAATAAATGACATTCACGGTTGACATTGCAACAACGGCTAAGCGCGATTTGTTGTGCACCATCCCGTTCAACCAACCGCCTGTCCATCCGTAGGCAAGTGCTAGAGCCGACAGGTGGAAAACGAGGCGGCGTGTTAAGAGGAACATTCGTATATGTGTACATTTGCACATACATATATATGGCGGCTGCGGTAGCCCAGTGGTTAGCATTGTATACTGACAATCGGAAGGCTCGAGTTCAAATCCTGGTGTCGTACTAACATCCAGACAAAGTCATAGCAAATAAACTGAAAAAAAAAAAGATTTAAGCTAAATTTTCTAATTGCGGTCGCCCCTCGGCAGGGAATGTCAACCGCTCCAACAGGATTTCGGACTTGAAATAAAGGCTCCTCATAGAAACCCATCATAAGTTCGGAGCCAGCTTGGTATGAACTGTTGGTCCCTCCAATTCTTGGAAAAACATCAAGGCACAAAAACGACAAATTAGAGGAGGAGCCCGGCCGAAAGCCGCTTCAGCGGTTACAAAGCGCCAATTACTTATATACACGTACACATATAAACTAGGTGGAAATCAACTCGTATTGCCGGCAATTGCACAGCCACAATGGCTCAGCCTGAATTTCGTTTTTCTTCCACACACACACACACACCAACACAAGCTCGCACTTAGCTAAAAATTCTCAGTTCGTTGACTGTGTATTTTACGAGTAAGACAACAACCTAAGGCTGACATTTAGCGGTTGAATGATATCCCTCTTTTGTGAGTCGAAGCTGGTGTTGCATGTCCTCGCAATGTCATCTGGTTGTTGAGCTTGCATTGGAGGCGGCTGAATGCTCAATTTAATTAAATTTCGCTTTCAATTTTTTTCACCTTTTTCCTTGAGGAATTTAATTTTATTTGTATTTTTAAATTTAATTGACTTAGCACTTACCTCGACGGTGCTGTCACGTATATAAATCTCCTTGGTGTCGTTTCGATCTCTTGGCCTGTATGTTATGCGATAACCGAGAAACTCGCCGAGTATTGTATCGGCAGGCGGTGGCTTCCACGATATATACACGGAGGTGGATGAGGTGTTGTGGGCGGTCGTTGGTATCGGCTTGCCGGTCGGTGCTGAAATGGGAATGCGAATGATTATAATAATATAAAAGGAAAATAATATATAGAAACGTCAATGGGGCTCAGTAATATGAGTAGAAAATATTCGGTTCGGATGACCACCCACTTTTTAATTTCAGAAATGCAAATATGAACGCCGGGGCGAGAGGCCAATTAGTAAGACAATAAAACATTCTCATTCATAGAGATCAGAGTTTCAACCATCCTTCATCTAACAAGGAACAGCAGACCGGGAGGTTTCATATAAGGGACTTATTCTTAAGAATTATTTTGACTAGACCCCACATATAGGAGGGTCGTAGCTGAGGTAGCTGATCACTCGACTGATTGTTATCTATAAATATAAAGGATTGATAGGATTTTATTAGTTTTGTGCGACAAATCTAGCTTTAACCACCTCTTGATCAACCGACTAAAATTTTCGTGCGAAAAATAAGGAAAAAAACCCGACCGACCTTTAACCGATTTGTTCCCGAAGAAGAAGAAATCCGTATCGATAATGGCTACCGGAAGACGGCACAGAGAAAAAGGTTAGAAGTTCTGCTTCCCTTGCTCTCGTTGCCATTTTTTAGCTGCAAGGACTTTCCAATTGCGCCGGCGCTTGTATAACATACACTGCACCCAATACTTCAAGCTTCTTCCAGTCATATAAACTTCGACTGTTTCTTATTGAGATTTACCATACCACTGGAGTACTGCTCTGCTTTAGACTGGAAGTTTTCAAGACAACACCGTAAATCACAATTTCACATTGATGATCGGAAGAATTAATATCTTGAGCCTCACAAGGTGATCCATCAGTAATTCTTTGCTTTAAGAGCCAGTCATCTGAAGAATTTCATTTCATTGCCACCTTCAGTACGCGTACGCTATTCTTGTTCTTTTACTCTCGCCAACATTTCAATGCATTTGTCAATGGAAGTAACATCATTCGCTTCTCCTCCTCCACCTCTCATATAAGTGTACTCCTATATATTCGTACATATAAACGCGCTGTTGCATTGTCAAGTTGTCACGCGTCGGCGTAAGTTACACGCTAGCAGCCCACCTCCACTGCCCGTTCCGCCAAGTAATGTAAACACAGCTTCGTATATCCCAGTCTGAAACTATTTTCATTTACTCTGCACTTCCCGCTTTCTTTACGCCCATTTTATGTCATGAATTTACATCTTTTCTCTCACGCTCCCCACCGCTTGACTTTAACTCACTCGCGTCTTAACGCTTCAGCGCGAAACGAGCGTGAGAATGCTTCATTTGCTAACGTTGGGTCGTTTACAAGTTTCTCCTTTCTCCAGCGTACGATGCTCATGTGCGTGTGTATGTGTGTGTGTTTGTATTTGTAAATATCGCTCTGTTGTTTCCAATTTAGTGAGTATCTTCTCCTTTCACTCCTCCTCCGGCAGAAGTCTTTACAATTGCCATATCCACTTTACTTCTCTCACTTCTCAACTTCACTCCCCTTACTCATTCATTCATTCCACGGATGTGCTCGCATTGCAAAGCGCGTTGGCGTGTGCCAAAGTTTACTTCAACTTTATGTGTATGTGTGTGTATGTGTGTGTGTGTGTGAGTTCTTTTATCGCCCATTCTTACATTTTTTATCTTTTTTCGCTATTAAAGTATTACTCTCCACTTTTATTTTATTACTCTCCACCTTTTGGTTGAGTAGAGCGTAGCTTAAGGTGGCACGACTCAGAGTTTACTTTGATGATGAACTCACTTTATGTATTCTCCCATTTCATCTCGTTTTGTGAATTTAATAAATTTTAATGGATATCACACTGCAGGAGATATTGGTTGTGTGCGAAGGATGGAAATACGGTTATCTCCTTAGTTTTAAATTATTTAATTACTTGAAAAGTTTCGTAGCTAATTTAGTGGCGACCCTCATTCACGGAGAGAGAGCGAAATCATAAAGGGATGCTAGTTTTAATACCCAATAACTCATCGTTTTCACTGCGAGCGTCGGTTAGGTTTGGCTGAACTGGTGGTCCCACCTGGTCTGATACAATATTGTATATTCTATGGCAACCATTCTCAGCTATATACTAAGGGTAGAATGAATAAGATGGATACCGAAATCTGAAGAAGAAAGCAAGACACACTTGCTGAAGAAAAGAGACGAAATGCGAGAGTATATAGAGGTCGAGAAGCTGGTCGACTAGGGTAATGCTCGAAAATTCTACGAAAAGATGCGTCGACTTAAAGAAGGTTTAAAGATCGGAGCAAAGAGTTGTAGGCCCCGGATTGGTGCTCTAGTGCGGATGCCCATAGTATACTGAGTTTATGGAGGGAAACACTTTTCTAGCTTGCTGTATGGCAATTAAAATGAAACACCAGCAGATGGTGAACCCGAAATCCTAATCCATGACAAAGTAAAAGCTGTTTCACTATCTGACTATGACGAGCTTCGAATAGCGATTCCAAGCCTAACGAACAACAAAGCGACTGGAGCTGACGGACTACCAGCAGAACTACTCAAACAATCCGGTAAAGAGCTGACAAGGTGCATGCATCAGATGCTTTGCAGAATATGGTTCAAAGCAACGCAATGATGATATGGTCATTATTAGCTCCAGCAACCGCGCCCTGAGTTCTGCTTTCTCCAGACTTGATAAAGGAACGAAGACAAGACGAAATATATCTAGTCAACAAACAAACAGTCATCACTTTCGCGACTTGGCTCCCAGGTCACCGCTGACAGTCATAACTTTGAAGTCGAAGATATTTTCATCTATTTAAGGACCAGCATTAACACGGATGATAACGTCAGCCTGAAATACTTTTGCAGTGCTCTTTTGCCAACAGGTGAACAAAGGCCAAACTCTACGTCCTACTGTATACCGCAGAAGCGTTGCCGATGTCGATATTTGATGAGTCGGCTCTGAGAGTCTTCGAGAGAAAAGTTTTGCGAACGATTTTCTTTGCGCATTAGCAACGGCGAATACTGCAGACGACAGAAAGATGAGCTGTACGAGATATACCTAGACATTTACATAGTTCAGCTAATCAAAAGACATCGGCTACGCTACGTTTTTGATGTAGTACCCGCCGTTGGAAGCAGAGGAAAAGGAACATCTCCACTCCGTTGGAAGCATCAGGTGGAGAGTGAACTGGTTTCACTTGGTATTTCAAACAGGCGTAAGCGGTGCCAAGAAGAATAAGTTATTGAATAAAGGTCCACAGCTCTTCTCTCTGCTTAGCACTTCCGCTGGGAAGACGATGAGTTTGGTAAAGAGATAAAAAATAGATGTCAAAATTTTTGGAGCATACGCGAATTCATGCAAGATCTCTGAGTGTATATTGAGAACGAGGGCTACGAGATATCTTTTTTACCCACGTCTAGTGGGTATCATCAGCTGAAAATATCTGCCACACTCCAAGCATTGGAGGTGAATGTAGGCAGTACAGGATATCGCTGTATCCATAACTAACTTCCTCCTAGCCTCATCAGAGAGGGAGTACTCGACTTGAAAAACACCATCCAGCGATACGTACAACAACCGTTGGACAGGACGGCGTACAGACTAATGTTACCTGTTGGCCGAAACGTGGTTAGATCGCCAAAAATGTGACAGCTCTTAGCCGGATAAAATACGGGTCAACTCCGGTGCGTAGAACCGGCTGTCTTGAGACGGCGACTTAGATTAATCAAACCTGTAACAACGCGGGGCTAGCGAACCGCTACAACAACAACAACATAGCGTACAGACAGTCACTGAGCGCCATTTACCAGGAGTCAGTCAAGACCTTCAATGGAACCCTTCCCGGGAATGGCTTGCTCGGAGTAAAACCATCACCCATTGCAGACAACGAGCTCGAGCTGCCCCGAAAGACCCGAGTGATGTTGGCACAACTTAGGTCCGCTTACTGTAGCAGTTTAAGCTCCTACTTATCCAGACTCGACCCCAGCATAACCAACGTATTGCCTGCATGTGGAGACACTAACCACCTCTTTACATGCTCCCTTAAACCGGCCCATCTCACCCCCTCCCTCTCTGTTAAAATCCTATCGAAACAGCACGTTTCCCGGACCTCCCACTAGATGACCTCGGCGACTTAGATTGATCAAATCTGTATCTAAGCGGGGTTAACGAACCGCTATAACAACAACAAGAACAACAGAGAATCATTGATTGTGTTAGGTTTAATGTAGCTAACGGCTCTTTCTAAGTCTAAGCCGTCTTGTGGTGGTTCGTTGATGGAGTTGCCTATAACAAAAAATTTTTGGGTGCCTGAGGTATAACGAAATCCCTTTACTTAGAGACATTCTTTAATCTAGTTGAATTGGAACTTTGTAATATCTGACATTTACTCCTTTGTTTCTTATTGTTTTTGTTTTCGGCTTAAGAATAAAGGTATTAAGGTCGATGGATAACTTCCACCAGCACCCAATCGCTGCATTTGTTGTTTGGAGCAGAATTAATGGTATTTTCACTTCAATTCGAAGTAAGAGCACTTGGAAGGTTCCAGTAATCTCGGATGTTGGTCTGGCTAGGACTCGCCTCATACATGGGACAACCAATTTAGTTCTAAAGAGCTTATACAGCTGGTCTCATCAAGACGAAATTGAGTCCATACTCACTTAAGAAAGAGCAAAGCTCAGTTTGGCTTTCCTTCGAAATCTTCTATACAAAACATCAAAAAACAATGGAATATATTTTTTGCCTATTTTTTCGCTTTCTTTGCGGAATTTCGTTTGTCATTCGCAACGTTTTTGATAATCGGCAGCTCATTTCGCCGTACTCAACTGTCGTAAATGCTTGTGGCAAAGAGCCACCAACACACACGCACACACACGCATTTCCTTAGCCTCACTCGTATACATATGTACATCTGTGTGACAAACAAAAGGTTAGATTTGTGTGCTCAACTTGGTTTGGTTGCTTGACTGTGGCGTGCGTGCAGCGCATATACCACATGCCTCCGTTCGTATGTCAGTTGGGTGTTTGTATGTATGTGTGGTGCGTACATCTAACAATGAACACCTTAATTGTTGACAAAGTGGCAGCCGCAAAGTGCGTAAACGAACATTTCACTGGCAACTCAAGATGGCAGAAGCCAAGAGGTGCTGCTGCTGCTGGTGTGCTGCTGGTGGCGTTGTTGGTGGTGATGTTGATGAGAGCTGCCACACACACGCAGGCACACATACCTGCGTAGATACTTTGTGGCTTTGATTGTGTAGGTGATTTGTAACAGCAACAACAGCGACTAAGAGGGGATGAGTGAACCAATTGCTATTTGCCTACTGCTAGGCTAGTCAGCCTTTGTTGTATTATGTGTGTGTGTGTGTGAGGATGGATGGCATATATAAGCACGCCAGCTAACTACGATGAAATCGACTCACTCAAACACATACACAAACAGAGATATTCAAGCAAAATACCTTGACATGCTGTGGTAAACGAGGGAGCCTGCAAATGCTTGATAGGTGAATAGACAGCCAGCAGATTTGTTAATGCTGATTTGTTATTGGTTTACAGTGTTGAACAAAATTCTTGGCATTTTATGCAAAATATATACAGAATATATAATGTTTTTTTTTTTTGTTCTTTTTAGAATTATTTTTGTAACGATAAATTGAGTTTACATATTTTAAGTTTTTGAACTTCATATTTTTTTTTTTTTTAAATAAGTACAAAACAACTCGAATAAATTTTGAGCTTATATGATGAAATATTTTGTATATATATTTCGAATTGATGTAAAAGAGGTACAAAGAATTTCAAGCATTGCGTTGAATTGTTAAGTCTTTTATTGCAAAGCTTTTAAATTTTCTCTTGAGAAATATTAATTTTTATATAAAAAATGTGAAAAATAAGCAAATAAATAAAATTATAAAATATAAAAAATGCGCATAAATTAAGCTCAAGTGAACTGAAATTAAAAATTATTTAATTAAAAAGAGGACTTAGCAACTGTTTTGAGTCTTATAAAAGTCGTTTTCAAATAATTTGGATTGGCAGAGAGCGCTAGTATCGGGAAAGGTAGGTATTTAAGCCAAAAGCCTTAACAATTTGAGAGCCGCTGTGTTAGTCAGAACTGCAGATTATCTAATAATTAGCGGTGTGCCTTAGAATAAGAATTCCGTATTAGTAAATATTCGACAGTTCGTTGTTTATTAATTTGAGACTAACGGTCTAAACGGTATGGAGAACAAAAAAAAAGAAGAAAAGGAAAAATTTTCGAAGCTCAAAATTTAGTGTCTTGTGGTTTTTCATTTAATATTACAGTTTTGGCGCTTTGCAGGCGCTGGAACGATTTTTCTTTGCAAAAATTTAGCTAAAAGATAAAAGCAGTGCACAAATGTTGCCTTTGAGTGTATACGACTCACAATGGTTGTTGTTGCTGTTTTTGTTGTTGTTGTCACTTATGTGACAATTCTCATAGCAGTTGTGCCGCCTGTCACACGCTAATGATGTCTCGATGGCATTGCCGGAGTGTTTGTGGCAATTATTGGTGTTGTTGTTGCATATATTGTGGTTTATATTTGTTATTGTAGCGTTAAGACAACTCACTTGTGCAGAACTACTCGATTGCAGCAATATATTAATGTGACAATTCATATCTATCTTCACGATGACTCGCCGTTCTTGCTGGCCAAGCGTATTTGTCGCCAAAGCTTGTACATTTTGACTTATATAATAAATAGTGTTGGTAGCACACAAGTTCATACCAATATGTCTGCTTGCCTTCCTAAACTCAATTTGCTCTTCAATCTTAATATTTGACTTTCTGTATGCAAAGCTCAGCTTCAAAGACAGAGAATATACATACGAGTATATAACATGCATGTATGTACATATGTATAAAAACACATATGCTGCAACCGCTCTTTGAGCCAAGCAGACCACTTATATTCTTGTTCTATTGAGTGCCAATTTGTGAAAGAGATTCCTTTTTGATATTTTCAGTTGTTGCTGTGTCTTGATTGACTTTGCTTATAAATCGCTTTTCTCTTTCCCTTTGTCTTTCATGCTGCCGTTAATTGCTCTGGCGTTCAATTAAAATGATAAATTTTCCGCATACCTAAGACTCTTGAGGGGAGACGTTATTGCTGTGAAATTCTAGAAGAGTTCTCTGATATAATGTTTTCATAACGGTATTGGGCTAATTGGCCGCTTAGATTTAATGCAGTCAAAGGAAAGAAACTACAACTAAAAGGTTTTTTGAGATTTTGGAACAAAAGCGGTCCAACAAGTATTTTATGTGTGTGTGTGCTCAAGGTGGCTTGGAAATTTAATTGAGTTTTTTATTTAGTTGTTGTAAACAGCTCGAGAAAAACTAACAAAAGTGTAGATCATGGAGTTTCAAAGAAAGAGAAAATTTTGATGCTAATAATTTTAACTTACCCTCCCGCAACGTAACAATATAGTAGGATTCCTTGGACGGTGTGCTGATACCCAATTTATTCACCGCCAGCAGACGAAAGCTATAAACGGTGAAAGGTATCAGGGCGGTGACCTGATATGACGTCTGATTTGATTTGGTTAAAATTTGTGGCACTTGATCCCACGGACCATTCTCGCCGACACTGAAATGGGAAAGAAAGAGAAAGTGATTAAATAAGCAGTTTTCATATCTTTTTTAAAACTTTTTATATAACTGCCTTTTCAAAATTAGTCATAAGAATATATATAACTAATTGACGCTTTTAAAAAATAAAATAAAATAAAATAAAATTAAAAAAAATAAAATAAAATTAAATAAAATAAAATAAAATAAAATAAAATAAAATAAAATAAAATAAAATAAAATAAAAT